AGACTCATGACAAGTTAAGATTTGGTAATGTAGAATTACTTTGTTTTCCAAACAGTAATATTAGTTTTAAGACATTATCTCATATTTCAGTTACAAAATCAGAAAAATGTATTTTAGATAATCTATGGGTTTCCTACAATAAGAATCCTAAAAATTAAAAATACTTTTTAGCATGTTTAAATGCTCTTTCAGAACATTTTAGTCAAGATCATAAAAAATTTAAATGTTATGTTGTTTTTCAAGGTAGACTTTCAGGAGTTTATCATACTTGGATAGAAGTATTAGATTGTATAAAAAATTTTCAAAACCCTTTATATAAAGGTTTTTATTCAGTTTCAGAAGCATAGACGAATGCAGAAAGCATTTAGGAATTAATTATTTTATAGCCCCTTCATTAAAAAATATTTCAGATCAGTCATTAGATTTTTCTTCAAATTTTTGTCAACATTGTGAATGCATGACAAGAAATTTTAAAATTTTAAATGAATCAAATCAGATTTTACAATAAGAAAAATTAGTTTTACAAAAGAAGATTTCTGATTTAGAGAAATTATTAAAATAAAAATTTTAAATTCAAATTTTCAGACAGTTTCAGGCACTATAGAGCCCAAGAAGTCTATAGCTAGTCCAGTTCAAACGGTAGCTGGTAAAGACTTAACAAATTCGTTTATGGTTTTGGACTTACCAAAAACCCAACAGACTCAAGAGGCTGTTATTTCTCCTACTTTTCAATTTAATCAGACTCAACAGGCTGAAAATCCTGTTACAGAAAATGAAATTACTGAAGAACAGACTCAGCAGACTGTAAATTCTACTACTAGATTAATTAGTCCAATAGATTTAAAACAGAAAAATCCAGTTAATCTTATATCAGAATCATTTCAATCATCACAAGATCTAGAGCAAATTACTCAATCAGATATAAAAAGATTGAAAGAAATGTTTGATAGAATACAGCAACAAGTTAAAAAAAAAAAACCTCAAAGAAAAAGAAGTTGCAGATAAAGAAGAAAAACAAAGGTAAAAAGAAAATTGATCTTAAAGAAGATTATGAGGATAATACAGAAGAGGACAATAATTCAGAAGGCTATATTGATGGAGGAGCATCTTTAGATAGCATTGGCCGACATAATTATGAAACAAGATAAGGATTCAAGAAATATCTGATCATACAAAGAAAGATTTAGCTGGAAAAGAGACACTTGACAAACTTTCAAAAAGATCAGAAATTATTGTACGAGAGATAGACTTTTTACTGTTTTCTTTTTGAAAAATTTGTAACGAATCTTACTATTTTATAAAGTAAGATTTGATAATTAAACTTTTTACTGTTTTCTTTTTGACGTTTTTGAAAAAGCAAAGATTCTTTGCTTTTAAAAAACGCGTTTTCTTCCTTTTTCTTTCCTATATAAGAAGTCATTCTTTCACTTGTAAACACACAGAATAGAGAGAAATAATAAAAGTTCTTTGTTTCTTTGAAACATGTTCTAATTTTCTCTCTTTCCCGGAACGAAAATTCTTAATTGTTTTTATTCTTAGATATGATAATATCCTACAAAAAATATTTATGTTTCTAAACTACTGATGGATCATTCCGGTAGGTATGTTTTATTGTTCTAAGATATGGTACTAATAATCAATATTAGTCCCAGATCTTTAAAGAACAAATGTTATTTATGAGATTTTTGTTTCTGTAAATCTTTTGTAAAGTTTTGTATTTCATGCTGAGTATATGATAAGAGCATGTCTTAACTCCAAGTTAAAGTTTAAACTGTTTTTAAAATAAGCCCTGAGTGACCCTTCAAAGCGTAAAGGCCTAGTAGAAAGGCTAGTGAAACGGATAGAAAGGGGACAAGGATCACTGTTTTAAGAATTTTTGTTAAGGGAGTGCCAGTTGTGTCCTTGCAAGAATGGAGTTAGACCCAAGTTTATATATCTCAGATGGCATATTCTTTTCTAATTTCAAAGAAAATTAAAAAAAAATGATATTATCATATCAAAAGATATTTCAATTAAGAAGAGTACTGAGTAGGACTTTTATAATTTGATTTATAACCGCCTTATAACCTTCTTATAATCCTTGAAATACTAACCTTTTTCAGGATCCCCTTCTCTTTTTATGTTCCTGACCTTTTAACATTGTGCTTAAAGTATTTCAGAAGGACAAAAAGTCTAAACAAACAGTATAGGGTCACACCATAGACCCATGATAAATGTCTGATAAGTATGCTTAATCAATAATAATCTTTTCCATTTTAAGTATTACTTTGTCATTGCATGTTATTTTAAAGCAAAAATTATTCAAAAAGTGGAAGATGATTACATTTGAACAATTGTACGCATCAATTATTTAACCAATAATAAACTTTTTTCTTGAGTTAGGACACTATAACAATGCTAAAAAGTTGGGTACACAAGGTGTAAAACCCTAAAGTTTTTGGTTTTGAGACCTAATATAATAAATTTGGACCGTGTATGGCCCAGTCAAGTTAGTCTAAGTCCAATCCAAAATCTTTAGTCCATGCAGTACCTTATTAGAATTAGAAAAGTGGAAATTACACCAAACTCTACCTTTTTAAGTTCAATTTTCAAAAGTAAAATTCAAAAGATTTTTATACAAAATTAGATGATAATTATATTTTTTAATAATAAAGAATATTATAAATTTAAATTAATATACATGCCTAACCCCACCCCACACACCCAAACCCTAAATCCTTTTTACTCCTCTCTCTGTCTCTCTCTCTCTCTCTCTCTCTCTCAGAGAAAGGAGATCATCACCACTGCCTCTCTATCGCAAACATCGGAAGAGAGACCACCATTGCCGCAACGATGACACCACTACGGTGGCATGAACAATGCAGCCATGATGATGCTCATGCCACTGCAACGAAGTGACCATTACGCACTGTTGCAGCACAACGATGATGTTACTACCCATCTTCGTGCTTTATAGCACTCGTCATTGCGTGCTTTGTCGAGTGGGTCCACCGTCTTAACTTCTGCTCCAGTGGTGCTGCTACTAGCTCCTGTCCCAGCTCAACTGCTTTGATTGTACTAGAGAACCATCGGCACTGCGTCGCTCACTGCCAAATGATGATGCCTTCGAGTTTTTCTTTTGATTTTAGATCTGTCGGTGATGGTGCAAGTGATTCAACTAGAGAACTGATGGTTTTCTTTTGATTTTGGATTGTGGTTTGGCCGAAAAGGTGGTGATGCTAACGATGATGGTTTGGTGGAGGCGGTGCTAGTGGAGGTGGAAGTGCAGGTAGTGGTGGTGATAATTGTAAGGTGGCACAGTGTTCTATTGGTGCTAGGGGTGGGGTGGGGTGGGGTGGAATAAAGTTTTTGTGACCAATATTTAGGTGATTTGTCAATAAAATGTTGTAGGGGTGTTTGGTGATACCGTGATCTGACAACGATGATGGTGTCGGAGTTTAGTATGGTGGTGGTTTTTCACATTTTGGTGAGTTGGTGGTTGTAGCAATGGTGTGGTGGTCGTGGGTGGATAGGATGGGGTTTTTTTGATCAATTATTTAGTTAATTGTGACTAATAAATTGTTTAATTGATAATCAATAAATAATATGTGGCCTAAAAAATGTGATCATAAGTCATATTAAGTTGTAATCGAAAAATTACTCATAACCAATTAATTTGATAATTTGTAGCCGATAAATGAGTTGTGATTAATAAAAGTTTTGATTTTGTGATCAACAAATAAATTGTGATTTATAATTTTTTTTTAATTTGCGACATAAAATTTTTGATTTGTGTTACCGAGGAATAATTTATAACCAATTAATTCGATAATTTGTGTCCAAATTGTATAAATTTGTGACCTTAATATATTTAATTAATAAAATATTTTTTAAATTAATTAGTTTATAAATAAAATTTAATAATATCTTATTTTCGAAGTTTAAACCTTATTTTTTAGTTTTGAAATGGGTCAATGTTAAACTCTTAGATATGGATTTTTTTTCCCATAAAAAAATATTAGTTATTGTTTTTGTCTCTCAAATAATTTGTAAATAATAGAAAAATAAAGGTTCCACCATCTGATTTTGGAACTGTTTCAAAATCGGGTTTTGAGAATAAGACAAAGTTAAATTTATGCAAATTTCCCGCTTCTAGGGACACGTGTCTCCATCGCCCTCTCCCTCTCCCTCTCCCTCTTCCCTATATTTCTTTTTCTCTATCCCTGAAGTTTCTCATCCCTCTCACTGAATCATGCATTCTCAAATCACCCAATAATTAATATGTTGAAAACCCAAATTTTAATTGGTAAGCAGAGGGGGAAAAAAGCTAAACGGGATTGCAATAATCAAAAATCACATAGATTTTCTATAAAAATTCGCAGTAAAAAGAGGAAATTAATGACAATTTCGTACCTGCATATGGTGGCTATCATGGTAGAGACTATTTGCAACAAAAGCTTTTTGCAATGGGAGAACAATTACACACTAACTCGATTAGAAGAAGAAGATGATAAAGAAGAAGAGAAGACATTGAAGAATTTTGGGGTGATGATGTTGGAAATGGGACGAAGAAGACGCCAGAGAGACGGAGTTGAGATCTGCTGTCTAAAATTAGCTGTCCACTCAATAATTAATTGAAACATCACTTTAAATTAACATATCTAACTTTTCTTTCACTGTCACTTATACTGAAAAGTAGATGTTCAATAATGTGTCGATTTATCAATGTTGGATGGCCAATTTCGAACAGAAAGAAGATAGGGACATGGGTTGGAAGAGAATTCAATCGACTTGGGAAAGGGAGAAAGTAAATTATTCTGTGATGTGAAATAAGGGTATTTTCGGTAGTTTATTAATATTATTTTTAAAATATTTTTCTGGTGTATCAGTGACGAGGCTATTTGACATAATACCACTTTAATACTTTTATCTAACTCTAGGGACGAACATAGAAATTAATTTTTTTAGAACCTTTTATAAACGAAAACGACGTACTGACTTGCTTTTCAAGTTCAGTTTCATTTCAGCAGAGAGGTAAGCGATTTCCTCCATTTTTAACGTGCAATGAGCTACGAGGACGAAGAAATTCAGCGGGTTCTCCAACAAATGGAGGACTTAGATCAGGTTTGTTTCAACATCAAGTATATATAATGCATTACCCAGAACTATGCATGTTAATTTTTCTGCTGTATGCGGTCGGGGTGTAAAATCATGTTCTAGATGCTTCTATGCTTGAAAGTGATTGCAGAAGGGGAATTGCATGGGTATTAACAGTGGAGGAGCCACCTGTAGTTACTGAAATCTGGGCCCGGACCCAGAATGTGGGGGAAATTGTGGGAGATGCAGTTAGCATGTGGGTTGGGAAGAAATCTTGCTATGATTATGAAACGAATTCTTGCGTTGGTGGAGAATGGGTTGGGGAGAAATCTTGTTATGATTATGACTGGAATTCTTGAGTTGGTGGAAAATGGGTTGGTGAGAAATCTTGCTATGATTATGAAACTCGAATTCTTGCGTTGGTCGAGAATGCCTGCATTATACGCAGGTAGTTTGGGTAGATTACATGCCGTCTATTCCTCAAATAAAAGGGGATGCATTCCCAAAAGTAGTCATCAAATGCATATGCAAATTACACCCCAAATATTGCACGCATTTCACAGTGAGAAATAGTGCTTATAGATTCTAGCACACAATCCCTATTTCTTATACTTTTGATACCTTTTTAACCTTTAGATTAGGTATAAGAGCAGCTTAATTTACACGTTATTGTTTACAGTCATTAACATCGAATTAACAAAACTTCAATTAATTAAGACAGTTAATGCATATAAATGCCCAATCAAGTAAATTATTATTGATTGAAAGCTCTGTTTTCCCCTTTTAATCTTGATTACATATCAATACATAAAAATCCCATAAACCCCACAATATATAATGCATCCCCAGCAGCCATTTTCCCCATGCCCATGCTGACTGCATCTCCAGCAACCAATTTTTCCCCAACCCACATGCTGACGGCCTGTATCTTGAAATCAAATCCCACCTCTACCTCAAGATTTCTGATAAGCCCAGAAAAGAATATAATTTTTATATAACTGAGCAGTAATAATCCAATTTCTGAAAGTATATATGTGTATATGTATTTGGCCTCCATGTGTGGATGAATTATTTGCTGTGCATTATGGTGGTGGCACATAGTCCAATTTGTTTCTACCGTTTTCTTTTCGATAGAACCCACAGACCTGTAAAGTTCTAAAAATGTATATAAAGTTGATGGTCAAATTGGTATAAGATTTACATAGGATCAGCCATAGTAAACACATTCTTTCCTGCTTTTTTTTTTTTTTAGATGGAACTGGTTGTTAGAAAATTGGGTACTTGATTTTATTTCAATAATTAAGTTCCTATCTTATAACTTTCATGCATTATTAGGTCTTCACTATATAGATGCATGTTTCGAATATGTTTATCCATTAACAATGAAATTCAAAATGTAAAATATGTATGAAAATGTCAAGTTTCGACTTCGATCTCACTTCTAAATTAAGAAACAACTTGTCCTAACTTGATGGTTTTGAACTTTGGGGACTATTGGAATTCATTGTTTGAATTTTGATTTTATGGAATTGGTATTCTATTGTGATTTAATGGGATTTTGGGGTTTTTGCATTTGTCTTTTGATATTGACTACGTATTTATGGTTGATATTATTTGGAATTGGTTAGCATTCATTTATTTATTGAATTTCATGTCAAATAATTATAGAATATTGTAAATATAGATCTTCATTTTCAAATTAAGAACAAAATATTGGTTAAACTAGTCTTCAAGAGAAGAAGATGTTCGAAAAAAACATTTTGTAACTTAATTTTTGACCCCCATGAGGAAAAATATTTTGAATTGCTTATTTCTTTAATGATCTAGGAACTTAATTTTGAATGTGAATACGTATTATGGATTCTTTGGTATTCTTTGATATTCGCTTTGCTAGTTTAGTATGAAAAATATTACTGAAAACAAATGATGTGGTGCAGAAAGTTGAAAGAAGTGGTATAAAGCTTCAAAAGTTTGTCAGTAGGACTGAAACTCCGGAGGAAAAGATGGACGAAAGAAAGGTGAGTAAACGACGTGCAAAGTTTGAGAAGCTAAGCGCAAAGTTTGAGGCTAGAAAAGGTCGTCGCAAAGACCTGGAAAAAAGATACAATCATATGCTTTCGAAGGTAAGTCTAACTCATTACTTGATCAACTTACAAAATGTGTTTTCTATGTTAATTTTTTAACTCTAGTTTTATGTTCGTTTTCATCACAGAAAAACGAGGCCTTCAAAATCAAGAATCCAGATGCATTTCGGTTTGAGATGGTGAAGAAAAAAATTAGAACAAATCATGAAGTGGACAAGCTGCTGATGATAAACTCAATAGATATCATGTTCATTCTCAAAGAACTGAAAGAGGAAAGAAAGGTCAGACTTCAAATTGAAAATTTAGTCTTCATATTCTTTATGGATTTTAATTTGCTAAGTTTTACTTTTGTTTTTTCAGAGAGTAGAGGAGCTAACTACCTCTCTCTATCTGCGAGACGGGACCAATCTAAATTCAGCCAAGAACTTCTACTTCGTAGAAGATAGGTATACAATCAAATATATTATTACTTTTCAAATCTTTCCATCGACACTACTCTTTTGTTTTTGTATTCTATTGTTTGAATTTTAGGAAAGGGAGACTCATAAAATTGAAGAAAGAGACCCGTGAAGAGTCTTGTGAAGACCTTTCCGCTGAAAGGTAAAGAATAGGTTTTCGTTGTGGAATTATTTGGAGTAATCAATTCATAATCTTGATGTTGTCTGAATATTCTTTGGTTCCTGTAAGTTGAATTGTCTGCTAATGCGTTTGACTCATCGATTGATGTGCAGTATGATAGAGGAAAGTAGGCTGAAGCTTGAGGAGAGCAAAGATTCTGTGGATGAGTTATGGAGAAAATACGAACTCTTGGTCCAAAAGGAAAAAACGGTAAAATCATTTTTATAAATCTTATCTATGACTTAATTGAATAATTATAGTGATACAAATGTTTCTTGGTCAGCTGAAGTGCCGGAAGAAGGGCAAGAAGCCCTGAGGCTATTGATGTTCGGTGTATGAGAGGATGTTAGAAAGCTACAAAGTCTGAGATAGGTGGACAGATACATGATCTTCAAGAAGTCTATTTTAGGTAGTCTCTTATGAACACGAAGTACTTGTTATTACATGCAAAGCGTTTGTGGGTGTTTTACTTGGGGAAGGTGATGACCTTGAAGCTATACATATGGATAAAGGTTTTAAACACACACAACAACGGAACCTTCTTGCTAACAGTATTGCAATATATTTTCAGTGTGTGAAATATGTTAAATGTAGATCACAACGACATTCCTAGAACGACCATCTTTATGAGAACATCTTTATGACGTAGACTAGTTAGACAAGTTTGTGCAATGGACTATGAAATTTACAACTAGATAATTTTTCTCGTACTACCAAAGATGATATTAGTCATGTTATGAACTTAAGGGTAACATTCATCACAAGCTACGTACATGAAAATCAAGGTCAGGTATATGATGAAGGATTCATTGAATGGCTTGCTGCCTTTTTAAGCATGAAATCAGTCTTTTCTGAAATTGGTCTCTCGAGACCACGAAGAAAGAGGAGAATATGGGTGAATTTCCCTTGTCTCAAATGTAAAAAGTTCATTCACAATATGCTTCACATTATAGAGAGTCAATCACTTTCTATTGGACCTTATGCTGGAGCTTTCAGTTATAGTGTCGTATATTTTCAATTTTTTTTTTAAAAAAATAAGGAAAAATAAAGTCTTCATTCCCAGTGGATATTGTCAAGAGGTAAGGAAGAAAAAGGAGCGAAGTTTATAAGATATAATTATTGGGTTTTCTCGAGCTTGTATTTCATCGAATTCCCACTTATAGATACCAATCGAGCCAATTCCGATATGAAGAAGCTCGAATTTGATAAAGTTTTTTTTATTAGATTTTTGCATATTTTGATAAAAGTTGATGAGTTTTATGGTTGAAAAGTTATTGTGCATCTCATGAATCATGTAATCAAAATTGAAATTTGACGGATTAAAATTTGATAAGATTTTAGCAAATAACACTATATTTTTATAGAATTGAATATTGCAACCCAAATCTTTCCTTTGATATTACGTGGGCCAAAACTTGTTTGATCTCCTAAGCAAAAACGAGGTATGTGCGATAGCGGATAGGACTTTCTTTAATTAACTAATAAATTTGGTAACTTTAGGACCCAAGGTAGATTTATTTAGAATTGTTCAAGAGATGATGCAATTTAAGAGCTCGTTATGGGGCAAATTTAATTTTAACCACACAATTTGTAACATTCACAATTATCTATAATTATTATTCACTTTTTATCCACACATTTTATAGGATTCAAGAAATCCTATAATTATTATTAACTATCGACACCCCCCCCCCCCCACACCAAAGAAAATGAAAAAAAATATACACGTCAACTAATACCTTCTTTAACCTGTAGGCGAATTCATATTTTATCGAAGATTTTACGCTTAGTAGATGGGTTGAGGATTTGATCTCAACCCCTATTCTAGAAATTTATTGAACTATTCCCGTGCTTGTTTGGATGAGTGATTATAGAGGTTTGCATTAAAGTCGAAAATACTTTAATCACGCTCAAGTACTAACCATTTTTTACTACTCATTCTACCCGATAATCTTCCTCCTACTTTTCTTCCCAAGAACGCAAATATTTTGCTCTTCAACTTTGTTTGTCACGAATCACAAGTCATGCAAATAAAGACAAAATAATTATATGATACTAGAATCGACAAATAATATACTTCTTCTTTAGATTGTATAGTCTTCCACTCTTTATGGAATACAATCATCTCAAATTTTAACTCGGTTCTCAAGGAATGTAAAGTCGAGAATTTGTTGCTTGTAAGTTTGTTAAACTTAATTTCAACTCCATCGATTTGTAGGAATCTGGAGCTCGAGTTAGTGTGCTAGAAAATATTAGCAATTGGAAAATTACACAAACAGAGGCTCTTGAACAATTAAGGCCTCCATGCCATCTATCTTAAAAGCCAAAAGAGAAATTAAATCGGACTCACAAGATCCACCGATATGTAATGTCTCTAAATTTGTCAACATTAGATCAATTGAGACTTGATAATTAATTCGGGTTTATTCCACTAGAGACTTGAAATTGAATTCTCATGTCGAGTGATTAATGGAACTAAGCATGATCCGATAATAATATATTTGATCATCATAACACAAGTTAACCCCTTTTGATCGTCAATCTTTTGGAGATAGAAAATGATCGATTTTCCCATCGAATATGTATAGTTCCCGAGTCCCATTTTCATAAAGCAAATTTGTTGTGAAAACAACTCAACATAGAGTCAAACAATCCCACCATCGAACTATTGAACTAATGTTATTGCATCCGTTGGAAAGGGTTACTAAATGATGAGATTTCATCTTGCAAGTATATGATTTGGAAATTGTTTTGCCCTGATTTTCAAAGTACCAAGATCCATCTTTCAACAAAATCTTATCCATTGACATCTCAAAGTATTTGAGCTAACGATTAAGAGTACATTGCCTGTCAGAATTTAGGTCACTCGCTTGATGATCACGTAGAGTTTTATTCCTTGCGATCACAAATAAGTTATCTACACGGTCCCTTTTAACAGGACGTGTCCCAACTAATCAATTTATAGTTTCCCACTCTCTAGACAACTATTAATAAGAACTAAAATCTTATCTAAATAAAGAGTCCAACTTTCAAACACTGTCTTTTTATATTCTACCCACCAAGTATACAATCTGTGTGATCTCTTGTGATCATGGAGACTTATTAATAACTTAAATTAAATACGCACATAGATGATAGAGTCAAATTATTCCTGCATCCATCCCCTACAGATATGCTTGTTTATATTTTCATATAGATTAAGAAAATGTAATTAATATACTTAAAAAGATTTTTTTTAAAAAAAAGAATTTCTTAATATACTCCTATATTATATAATAGCTTAAATATAGTTAGCTTATATGTATCGATAATAAAGTACATTAAACAACGCCCTATCAGAAAAATAGAAAATATCTATACTTTCAAACTATAAAATAACTTATAATTTGAGATAGACCAAAAAAAAAAACCGGAATCTATCTTTTTGTGATGAGGGTAATAATTATAATGTCATTCCAAAAAAAAGAAAAAAAGAAAAGAAAACTACTTTAAGATTATTAAACTAACAATAATACACACAGGGATTTTTGAAATTTTAAAAATGTTTCTTGACCATCGGGCATCGGGTATTTTTACCGCCTTATCCTGCCGTTACACCCGGTTAAGGCAAAGCGGGTTAGGATGGGATCAGCCCCATTTACCAACCCATTTATTTATATATTTATTTTTTAATTTTTGCTTTTATTTTTTCATGTCATTAGTTGATATCAATAATTACTTTTTATATTTTTAATTGGGAAGAGTTCACATCTCAGGTGTTAAGTTTATCCCAAATCAACGATCAAATAGATACTTTTAAAATTCAAAAATCAGGTTTATATTTAATTAATTAAAATATTCATAATTATAGGTCACAAATTTATTTATTGGTCACATATCGTCAAATTAATTGATCACAAAATTATTTCATGATCACAAATAAAAAATTTTGTAGATCACATATTATTTCGAGGTCACGGGTCATTCAAATTACAAGTCACATTATATCTATGGGTCACATATGTCACAGTTTATCAGTCACAAATTATTTTTTAGTCACAGACATCTAATTTTTGGTCATGGACGCCTAATTGTCGGTCACATATGCCTATTGTCGATCACAGATGCCCCCACTCGTCACTGCCACTGCAACAATCACTACAGACGTCATCATCAACAACACAACAATGGTTCGACACCACCGCTTCCAAAACCACCGTCACCTCACCAACATGAGCATCGCTACCCTCTGCCACCACCATCATGAGCACCATTGTGCCTATAACACCACCACACCATCACGCCCACAACATACCACCACCGCACCACCCACAACACACTACCACCAGCACCATTTCCTCTATCTCTATTTACATCACCTCCAACCACCACCCCCACCAAAGAATCTACAAGCCTATCACCACCACTTAGAAAATGCAATAAAAGATGTCGAAAAATCACACCAACATGACAACACCACACCACAAACACCACCGCACATAACACCACAACACGGCCACCACCACACCATATCTGAACTCGTCGTGAAGCGAAAACATTTACAGAGCTTTCATCACAAAACAACACCTCTTTAGTCCAATCAGTGCCCAGAGGCATCGTGGCGAGCGCAATTGCAGGAGCTGCTCTGAGTGGTTCACAAAAATCAGAGCAAGATGTATCTCCAACAGCGTCTTCTTCCGGCTCATCTTCGTGCAGTAGCGACGTTCCTAGGCAGAGGTCACCGTCACACCCCTTGCAGCCTTCGCCACTCTTCTTTGCAACGGCGCCAGTCTCACAACTGCTTCGACGCCGTTGGTGACGGAATTGAATTGGGGAATTGATTAGGGTTTTTAATTGAATTGATTGAATTAACTATATATAATATCTGATATTTGCATAGATAAATTTCATCTCTGAAGTTTGAATTTGAACTTTTAAATGTCTGGTTCTATGTAATTTCCTCTTTTTAATTTGTAGAACAACTCATATTTCTAAATAGAAATGACGATGTTTCTTTTCGTTTTGTATGATCAAAAATATATTTTTTGAAATGGACTTTAAATGGGCATTCGATCCGCCCCATTTAGGATGAGCCCCTCAAGTATCGAATTTAACAAGTTTTCTTTGTCATTGCTAAACTCTACTTCAGTAGCTCCTAAGAACATCCCTAATAAGCTCGTTATAAGCTGACCCCTTGCTCCATCCACTGTGCATTCTTTCCGAGGGAGCTTAGTTTGCAATTGCATGAAGACTAAATTGTAGTTGAACCAGCCATTATTCATTGTGGGATTAAAAATTAAGTTTTAAATAATTATTATCGAACATTTTTTTTGAATATTTTTTCCTATTAGACACTTGTTTTACGAATATTTCGTTGTTCATTCAAAAATTAAGATTATACGTTTAAATTATTTTTCGCAATTGCTTGGCATGAAATTTAACAAATAAATGAATGCTTCTCCATTCCAAGTAATAATTTCAACCATAAAAGAAATATCAATTTCAATAGGCAAATTGCAAAGTCCCAATATTTCATTTGAATCACAATAGAAAACAACAAATTCCATAAAAATAAAAATTCAACGATAAATTTTAAAATTTGAATAAAATTCAAAACAATTAAATTACTTTGAAGCGATATTGTAGCCAAAACTTAAAAATGGCTCAAATGTCTTCAAAGAATACAATTATTGAAATTCCATATTTAGTCCTTGTTTGAGCCTCATATCCATCC